CACAAAGAAAAGGAACGATCTTAGCTTCAAAGTAAGGGTCCGTATCGAAATAAAATTGATGGAGAAACCATGCGTGCCTTTGTCGTTAAGTTCGCAAGTGTAGAAGGAAGATACAGACGCAGGCAGAAGAACCAGGTAAAAGGAGATTGCGACATTTCCACACGACGGGGCACAAATAGAAAGAGAGATGGGATGCCACAGCGGTACAGTAGAAATAAGCAAAACTGAGGGTAAGGCATGACGACGTGAACACAAAGCAGCACAGTTAAAACTACGAAGCAAAAGCAGGCAAATCCAAGCATGATAATGGCATTTCAAATCAAAAGAAAAACCTTTCATTTCTGCTCATGCTTACTTCCTGCGAGCAAACGATAATTGGCGCCTCCATGGCAGCAAATGAGACAAATAAACCGGAAGCTGCAAAGGGAAGGAGAAACGGCGACAGCAAAAGATCCAGACAGTGCAAAAGAGAAATGCGCAGAAGAAACCATACAAGAACGAAACAAACGAATACCTTCTATCCGGCTTTGCACCTCTCTGGTGTAGGATAGCAAAGCCCCGGGGAAGAAACTCCGGAGGATGATTCATGTATGCTCGATTGGATCCACGCAAGTCACTAAGTCTCCAAACGCACGCATGTACGGTTGTTATGTGATGCTGTATGAGCCAATGCGCGCATACAACTCAACATAGCAGCCGTTAGATTAGACTGAAGCCACTCACAGGCTAATTTTTGGTTCGTGAAGGTGAGTCTATATTGCTGGCTCAAAGTACCCAACTTTCGAGAAGTTCTGTTACTTGTTTGCAAACAATCAGCACAACACCGTGTACGTATGCATGCATTCATGCAGACACACAGCACATACAAAATCGCATGCATGCATCCACGCACGCAAGCTCAACGTCTTGTTTCTACTGTGTCTCTGTTGTAAAGACACAAACTGAATTAGATGAGCAAACCCAGCCCCCAAACTGAGGTGCAAACTCACGAGCTGAAGAAGTAAATTATATGGCCAACATGGGCATTCAATGCTAAGAGATGCATGCAACAGAAACAGCAATACACGCATTGCACGCTTGTGTCAAATGAATCATCGTGCTTCCAAGTAGCGCACTGTACACTTCGCGGTGTTCTCGCCAGTACACTGAAGTGCTGCTCAGAGCCACAGCAACACTTGCGCCAATGAACCACCCGTGGCTTGTATGCCAAGCTCCTCGGGGCATTGCAGTTATCCCCATGAGAAAGAGCAACGCGCGTTGTATGGCAGAAGACGACCGTCCACACCAGGGGGAACAGATCCACAAAACAGGGTTTTATGGTTTAGGTTACGATATGAACATACCTTCTGCGGAATATGATACCATGAAGCTGAGTCGCTGCTCGGCCTCTTGCCTATTTGCAAACGATTCACTCATAATACTGCGTCGGTAGGTTTTTGCAAGGAGGCAGGAGCGAGATACGGCACAGCGTGGTGAGCAATAAAAAACCCAACACCTAAGTCCACAGCCCCCATTTCACAGTTCCAAAAACAGAAATTTCGTGGGCATTCAATACGACCTTAAAACATGGCTCAGGCCCTAGGTGTTAGGAGTACGAGTTTAGAGGCAACGGTCTAGTGTTTGTTGAATAGGCATTGGGAGTGCATTACGCGGTGTTCGTGGGCTTTAAGTGTCGAATTCATGTTACCTCCAGCTCTACAGTTCGGGGTTTAAAATGAATGTGTCCGTCTGCGGTGAACGGTGGATCCGCGAAGTGTCGAACAAACGGCATACGGTTTAGGGTTCACAGTTTAGAGTCTAGGGATTAGGGTTCAATCGACCGGTAGATATAGGATCAACGGGCTACGTTCTGCAGCAAAGGTATAGGGCAGGTTGTGATAGGTGGAGTGTATCTTAACGTGTACGGATTGAGATTGATGCAGTGGGCTTCATCTTTTAGGCTGCATTTCAGGGTTGCACGTGTAAGTTATCACATGGACACTGGACAGGCCTAGCTATTGGGTGCATGGTTTGTGGGGTATATTTGGAGCTCCCGATCCCCGGGCTTTGTGTTTTGACAACCCTTGTTAGGACTGGACGTTCTACGGTTTGTGGTGTGGGATTGCGGATCTCGGACTTGAGGGTCTAGGGTTAAGGGTTTACGGTTGTAGGCTGTCGAGCATGAGGTTCTATGGCTTAGGTTATGCAGTGTTAGGGTTTAGTTCGTGATGTTTCTGGTTTAGGATATTCCGAGAAAGTTTCCATTCGCATGTGTTGGGTTTTAGTGCCTAGGCTTTAGGGGTTCGTTCTAGAGGGTCTACGGTTTCGGGCATGAGGTCAAGGGCTCAAGATTCCATGGTTCAAGGTCTGAGCGCTTACCGTTTTGTTGTGAATGACGTTAAAGAAGAGTTTCGCCAGAACTGCTGTTGCGGTGATGGCGCTGACAGCGAGAAGGAATTTTCTGCTTGTCCGCAAAGGCCTGCGGGCTACGGGTACGACGTCCACTTGAGCGAGCCCTACACCTACATTCGACGCTTCAGCAGTAGATGAAGCAGGAGAAGAGGTAAAAGCGTTTTCTTTGGACATTGCACTGACAGGTGTTGTGCAAAACCAACCAAACACGGACAAATACAGAAAAATAAGAGCCAGAAAAGCCTTGCACAGTCTCCCACAACCCGGCTCCATACTGTTCAGCATGTCAAATATAAACCTGCATTCAAATTCTTTTTTGAAGTCTATATAACAAGCCCAAACTATTTTTGCGTTATTTCAGCATCGAGATAGCTCCACTATCGATACTCCCACACGCTCGGGGGCCCAGAAGGGGCCCAGAAGGGGCCCGGCAAGGGCCTAGCAGGGGCCCTCCAGTGAGCGCTCTGGGATCACAGGAGGCGCTCAACACTCTGCAAAGAAAAGAACTAAACCACCTTTTAATATGAATGAAAATGCATTACTATTTATGGCTCAAAAATTTAAGGTGCTGCTTAATTGGAGCCTGGAATTTCGATCACCAAAGAAAATAACTGCCGCATCCAGCCCTCTGCCTCTCCTCCAGTCTACAGCAGCATTGCTGTCCACTCGCCCGCGCACTCCGGGCCGAAAACAGCATTCCCCAGGTGTATTTGCTTCTACTTCTCTGCTGTGCTGCTGGCTTTCCTTTGCGCCATCCGTATTGATTCCCTTTTCATTATTCTAAGTGTGTCGTACCTTGGGGGGAAATTTGTTGAATACTCTACTCGTCCTAACTACAACTCACCACCTGCAGTGCAGTGTTTGGAATGTTAGCAAGTATCAAACTTGAAAAAATGCACCTCGAGGACGCGTATCTATCATTTATCGCTTGTTTCTGATTAACTCTTGAGTATATTCGTAATCATTGCCGGTAAAAGTGCCCGTAGGCAAGCGCAGAAGTAGGCGAACTAGCTCACACCGCCAGCCCATCCCGTGAAATTATGCGGTTTCCTGCATACACTACGAATGTAAAACCCGCGCGAATCATGGCATTCCGTGTTTTGTTCTAAATAAAGGGCAAAAAGGAACAGTCTCCAGTCGAGGGTCTACAAACTACTGTGGTTGGTGTAGCTCCTGCTGCTGTTGGATTCGCCGATGCTAGTTCCTGCTGCTACTGCTGCCTTTCTTGTTGAGCGCCTGGTGATGCCTCTTCTACAGCTCGCGTTTCTGCACGTGCTGCCTCTGCGGATGCAGAGTCTGTCAGAGTTCGGTTGCCACGTTACTATGTCTGGAAAGGTGCAGTTACAGCAAATCCACGAGGCAGCAGCAACCAGGTGTGAGGGGCAGTAAACAGCAAAGCGTGACCCCTCGTCACTGGCGCTTGCTGCTGCCTACTGATGCTGCTGTTGCGGATTCTGCTGCTCCCGCCGTTGTTGCAATGCAGCTCGGGCGGGACGAAAACGGAGGGGCACGCCTTTAAAGATGCCGACAGGAGACTCAAGGAGAAACAAAGAGAACAAATAGACAGACACAGCAGTCACAAGGGAAGCAAACGAGGTGGGTGGCACACGTCTGAAGAACAGAGCAAAAGAGGACTGTTTTGCTGTTGCACTACACCCTAACGATGTCCTTGAACGCCCAAAAGGAGGAATGGGAAACACCGTAACAATGCAGCATACAAAGAAACACTAGCAGTAACAGCAACAACCCAAACAGCAGCAGCAGTTTCAGGTGCTCTCTAAGTGCCACCCCACTACTGTTGTTGCAGTCACTGATGCTGCTGCTGCTGCTCCTAGTCGTTGCGCGAGCAAGAACCGGCAATGATTTCCTCCGGTGTGCATGCACCTGTTCGTTGGCATGTGCATATATTCCAAATCCGTGAAGGCGTCTTAGCAGCCACGACGCTATGCTGCTGCAGCAGGCAGCTGCTGCAGCAGGCAGCTGCTGCAGCAGGCAGCTGCTGCAGCCCTCCACAGGTGCAGACAAACAAGCCACTGAACTGCTACCCAACAAAGGAAGATGTCGGTGTTCCAAGAAGAAGGGAGCACTACAGAAAAACACAATTAAATTAGGCAGTTGCTTGACGAAATGAAGTCAGCCAAAGAAATAAACAAAGTAACAAATAGAATCAGCACTACTCCAGCCAGCGTTGCATCATCTAATCTGTCTGCTGGGTCTTGCAGCAGCAGCAGGCAGCTGCTGCAGCCTGCCTCATCGGTTGCTGCAGCAGCAGCCATTACGTCTATTCAATTCCCTTACTACCCCTGCTGCTGATGCTGAAAGTACCTTGCTAATCGGTGCTGCTGCACCTGCTGCCGCACCGATCTAGAAGACAGCTGCTCTGATTGTCATGTGCTTCACCAAAATTTACTGCAGTCGACCCAATATGTTACAACGGAGAGAACTATTAAATGAATCGCCCCTGTGCAGCCAAATGCCGCCGCCAACTGACTCTGCTGCTGCAGCTGCTGAACGTGCTCCTGCTGCTGCGGCTGCTGCTTCTGGGGCTAGTACCTTTTATGCAGTTGCTGACGTTGTTAATGACGATGGCGCTGGTGCAGTTGCAGTTGCTACTGCCGCTGCTTGTTGGTGGTGCGAATGAGGGAAGCGTTGTGTCCATCTACTGCAACAGCAAAGCCTCCCCCAACATCTACACGCCAGGTGTTACTGCTACTGCGTCGCCGACTGCTCTGCGGCGCTGCTGTTGCTGCAAGACGGCCTGAAAGAAGCTGAATAGTTCGGTGCTGCAGCTCCCCTCCCCCCATTCCCCTCTGCAGCCAACGATGCAGCAAATGCTGCTGAACGAACTCGGATTTCACTTTGGCCCAGACCGCAAGGGGAAGCTCCTGCTGCCGTTGATGCTGCTGCTGTTGATGTTGCTCCTGAGGATTCTGTTCATGTTGCCGTTGTTGCAAGGCAGCCCGTTCTGAACCGATTGGTACTGCTGGGGCGGCGGCGGTGTCTCCCGTCGGTGTCGATTCATTTGCGTGGCCCTCTCCAGCGGTCCCACAGTTAGCAGCAGAAGCAGCAGCAGCGGTGCATCTAAGGTGCGTGCGTTCCCATGCGGAAGCTTCCTGGTTTATGTGCCGTTTCAGCAATAGTACTTGCTGGTGCAGCAGCTGCAGGCGACGACGTAGAGCAGCAAGATGGGCGTCTGCCACTTCAGCAGCAGCAGGTGCTGCTGTTTTTGCTGATGGAGACTCTGGTCTACCTGCTGCTGCAGTCGTTGCTGCAGCTTCCGCAACAGCAGCTACAGCTACAGTTGATGGCAAGTCACACGCGCCAACGGGCACCTCCACTGGTTCTGGAGCAACAGAAGCAGGACCTTCGTTTTGATGCTGCTGATCTTCGTGCCACTGTTGGTCTGGCTGCTGCTGCTGGTGCTGCTGCGTGAAGTTAACAAGGGCTGGCAGGACGGCAGACCGAAATGAGTTGCGGAGATATTTGGGGCTGCTGTTCGAAGAATCTTCACTCCAAACACTCCCCAGCGCCTGCAGCAGCAGCCGCAACAGCAGACACAACAGCTGTAGTAGCACCGCCAGAGGCACCGAGTGCAGTAGGAGAATCGTCAACAATGACAGCTGCACTAACGGCACCACCGTTGGCAGCAGTTGCAGCAATAGCCATTGGGAACACCGGTAGCAGCAGCGGTTCTAATAACAGCAGCAGCAGCAGCAGAACCAGCAGATCGAGAGGCAGGAACACCAGGTTACAACAGGAGGGGCGTAATCCAGGAAAATATCGCACACAGTTTTGCCGCAAGACAGGCAGCAGCAGCAGCAACAACAACAACAGCAACAGCGGCAGCAACAGCAACAGCAGCTCGCCTTTAGGTATGAGCGCAGCGTTTCCTTCGGCAGATCTAAAAAAGGCCTTCCAATAAACAGGTGTCGCTGCCTAGCTAGCTGTTGGGGACTAGCTAGCCGTGAATGGCTAGGCTGCTGCTCCTCGCCAACTAGCCCCGGGTGGCTAGCTATCTGCTGCTGCCCAGCTGTGTAAGCGGGTGAAATGTCTGCTGTAAGGGAAGACAGAGGCTCCATGCCGCTGCAGCATATAAACCCCAATCAGCAGCAGGAGCAGCAGCAAAACACATACCCTTCAGCAACCAACTGCAGCAACACGAATGGAGTAAGAAACAAAAGCGGCCGTACGATCATCTTTACAGTATTCTTATCATAGAAATAGCATCTGCAGCAGCAGCCGCAGCAGCAGCAGGAGAAGCAGAAGCAGCAGCAGTGGCATCAGCAGCAGCACTCACTGGAGGTTGAGAACGTTGACACCCCTAAGAAGTTTTAAGAAAATTGTCTCCAACTGATCGTCTGCATGGTGACCCGTTAGCAAAAAACCCCGTCGCTGTTGCCAATGTTTCTGTTGCTGCTGCTGTTGCTGCTGCTGTTGCTGTTGCTGCTCCTGGATTATTTGGGTCAGTAGGGTTGCTGCCTCGTGTCGGCGCCAGTTGCGCATGAGCTGCTGCGGCGACCCTTTGCTGCTGCGTTTGCCGCCCACCTGCTGCTGCTGTTTATTGCATGCAACTAGAAGGCTGTCTGGTATCTTTCTGCAGTGCAACGGGATGCCGTACACGCGACAAGCTGCTGCTATTTGCTGCTGTTCTTTTTCTGTTTCTGTGGGGCGAAGGCGATGATCAAAATACACCGCAGCAACCATCGCACCCATGCCCCCAATTCGCATGCACGCTGCCATTCTGTTAATGTTGCTGCAGTTGCTGCTGTTGCTGCTGCGGCCGCTCGGCAACTGGCTACTCACGAACGCTTTTTTCTCGGCGCCCGCTGAGCTACCTCCATACTGCTGGTGCTGCTGTTGCTGCAACGCTTGTTCACGGTTGCTGCAAGCAGCAGCAGCAGCAGCAACAGCGCGCGGGGTAACAGCACTCAGGCCAAACGCACGTGCAACTGCATGCAGAAGCGCTGTGCTGTCTGACCCCCCGCTGCAACTCAGTAGCAAGACAGGCAACTCCTGTTGCTCTTGTGCGTTTGCCACCGCTGCTGTTGCTTCTGCTGCAGCAGTTTCAGTGGCCCAAACAGGCTCCAAGCAGTCACCTGTATGCTGATGCTGCTGCACCTGCAGCAAGAAGGAAGCAGCCGCAGCATCGACTGTCTCCACAACTTCATTGTTGTCTTCTGTAGATATAGAGCGATGAGGAGCTGCAGCAACTGCAGTTGTAGCAGCAGCACGAGCAGCAGCACGAGCAGCAGCAGGAGATGTGTTTTCAAGATGAGGCAATGTTGCGTTGACAATTCCGACGTCAACCCTAGAACAGCAGGGTCTAGCCGAGTTTGCTGCTGCTCCAGTCAATGCTGCTGCTGTTGTTGTGTTTCCTGCTGCTGCCGCCGCTGCACCCATATAGGCTGCTGAGGGGGATTGCCCCCTTTGAAGACAGATGAAACCGCATGATGGCCTGCGAGTCGCGTCAGCTACCGCTTGCTGTAGCGGGAGCAACAGCAGTTGCAGCAGCAGCAGCAGGAGGAGGACGGCATGGCCCCGCTGCAGTGATGAGCATCTGCTGGTGGTCTTACAGCTGGAGCAAACGCTCCAGCAAAACATGTAAAGGAACTAAAAGAGCAGCAGCAGCGGCACAACAGCGATGCTGCAGCAGCTGTAGTGCACAGGCACTACAATACGCTCTCCGCTGGGTATCCGGCGAGTGAATTCGTCATAAAGCGCAATATAAAGATTACGCGGTATTTAATATGAAGTTACTAGACCACAATTGTGGCTTAATAGGCAACTCATGCCTACAGCCGTAAAGACATGCAGCAACACCACAAGCAGCCGCAGCAGCAGGCACACTACTACAGCAGCCGGTGGAATGCCTTGGACGTAGCTGCTGTTGTTCAGCTGCTACTGAGATTCTGTTAAAATGCGCCGGTACAACCAACCAGCACAGGTATACAAGTCTTGCTGCTGCAGCAGCAACACCAACAGCCAAGCCCTCGTGGGGGCTCTATGGGGCACTGCCTAATAATGAAACCTCTTTGTCGTTGTGCTCCTCCATAGGCATATTGAATTAAAATTGTTTACTTCAAACAAAATTTTATTCCCCAGGTGTATAACCTGCTGTCTCTCCAGTAGCAGCAGCACCAGCAGCTGCTGGCTGCAACTGCTGCTGCTGCTGCTTCAACGTCAAAGGGTCAAGGGGGCCCACGTCCCTCGTTACTTGCTGCATTCCATCTCCCCGTTAAAGTAAAAAGGCAAAATGCGCCTATAATAATTTGTGTCGTTGTGGTTTCGGCCGTGAAGGATAGAGGGTTTAGTGCTTATTGTTTAGGTTTTAGGGTTCAGGTCTGGGGTTGTAGGTTCACTGTTGATTGAAACATCTTCCCCGCGCATACTGTAGTAGTCTTGCCTGCGTTTGTTGTATTTGTTTTGCATCCGTCATCCCCTTTTGTTTGCAATTTCAAAGTCGTCGTGTCTAGGGTTTAGCGATTAATGTCGGTGGTTTAGTGTTATGTGTACGTTACCGCGCAGTCTACGCAGACCCTCCAAGTAATGTTGGAATTATCGTGCCTCAGCTGCTTATTTGAGTATTCTCCCTCTCGTCAATTTTGGGTCGCCCTTTACTGTATCTCTGCTGTGCTCCTCGCGTATAGAAGAGCGGGGCCTATCGACGTGCCATACACATATTATTGGCAGGCATGGACGAATGAGCATTGATCAGGCCATATTTAGCAAACTCTACGCAAAGCAAGTAAACGTTCTCAGCATTTGCGGGTCTACAATGCCTGCGCATACGGCAGAGAAGGTTTGTTTGTGCTTGTGTGCCAACGTGCCTGACACCTGTTGCACCAAGTTGCCTTCCAATCCATGGCTAGCCCCTTCCTCTTGCGCAGTTGCAGGCGCTTAGGCCGTTCAGTTGAGAACGCGTGCAGACTGGGAAAGGAGGAAAGGAGGTGCGCGGTCTTTAAGGAACTCATATAGAGTATCTCTTGGAGGCTCTTTCTCAGCAGGCAACAGTAGTCAAATATGACTGAGCACCCCCGTTACTGTTGGTAGCAACGCCTAGTATCGACCCATGTACCTACGCGTTTAAGTGCCTTACTTTGTGAAGCCCCACCAGGCGTACAAACAAAGAGTACAGCGGAACCCCTGGGCCCCCACGCAATCTGCGGCTCTGGGTTCGGTCCACAGGATTCTATTGCCGTAACTCTTGGATACAAAATTTATTATTAGTGGACAGCGGTTGCTATTGCTACCGCGTGCGCTCTTTTTAGCAATGTACCGGCGACCCCCACAGCTTGAAGAGGAAATCGAACGGCAAGCTGGCGAACACCTATTTCCAGCAGCCAACTGCCGCGTTTGGATGTAGAGCGGTCTTGGCGCAGATACCAAAGCCTGCAGGTGTTGTGTTTGCGCCAACTTCAAGCCTTTCAGCAAGATCAGGGTGAAACAGGTTTCCGATATCTCGGATCGATGAGCCGCTCGGCCGTCTGCATAGTTAAATAGTGTGTTTAACATTGAACTTTGCCTAGGCGTCCTTTTAGCTTCTAATCCATCCATGCGTATACCCATTGCGTTCATGAATGCATAGGCCGAACTGCCCCGGCTGGCAAATCGTGATTTTGTGAGCCCCACCAATGATAGATTGGGGGGTATATGCGTGAATGATGTGCCTGTGTTCAGTCTGAATCTGCAGGAGCGTCTCCTTGAGCTGATACGTGCTCTGCTGCTGGTAGTACACCAACAGAGCTGGTTCACACAAGCAAAAATGTGTGTTTGTGTTGGACTTGTTTACAAGCACTTAGATTCTTTGGGTTTTATGTCTCGACAGCGGAGGTCGAGCCTGATCCGGGGGAGAGATAGGCGTATAGAAGGCGGGCACTACCCCTGTACAGTGGAATGGGCGTTCAGAAGCTCCGCATTCTCGCAACCTAATACAAGAGTTTCCTTCCTGACTTTGCGAGCATCGCCCCCTCACGTGCGGACTTACTTAAGATGGATAAGCAAGTGGTTTGAACAAATAATGAGGATACAGCCGCCAGTAGCCACACCAGACAACTGAGGTCCCCTCTAGTATTCGATCTGCAAGGTTTAGGAGAGCTGGACAACCAATTCGATTAACACAGCATTTGCAGTGATGCTCTCCCAGAAAGCCAACACTTCTACAGTGCAGACAATCATCAGCTGCTAAACCGAATCTGTTCACTCAGGGATAAGAGAAATACCTAACACGCGAGAAAGAACCCTACACTGGGTGCCTAAAAGTACAACAATGTTGGCATTATTCATATGCCAGGCACGCCACCATTCAAACCGATTATCAGGCCATGACACACCTGATGAAGGGTTTCGAAGACTACCACTATGAAAGAATTGTCTGACATTTGTGTTGGCTCTCTCAGTAAGAATTCACATTGAACAATGTAGAGGGCACCACCGATGTGGTCGCTGACGCCCTCGCCTGACTCCCTAACGGTAAGGAACTGGGCGTTAGGAAGTCAGGCGAAGGGTGTGAAAAAAGTTAAGAGTGTTCTCCATCTTAAACGCGAACAAACAAGCGGTGAGAGAGATGCAACAGCAACAGCAGCAGCAGCAGCAGCGTAATGCGTCTCCAGGGATGAGTTCGATATGGTGCGTTGAGCGTCCAATTTGTGTCAGTTTCCCTAATTATGCTTCCTAAGCTCTGCCTCCTCCTGTTCTTCTCTTATCATAGAAATGACAATATTTAGCAGCGCCTGTCGGCCGCCTTCCACTGTGCGGAGGGCCTCCGGAGGTCTGTGGCCTTGTGCCAGTACCAACTGTAGTTCCTCTTGTAGCTAAAGTACAGCTTCCTCCTCCTTCTCTGCCCCATCATCGCAACGGGCATCATATCTGGATGGGCAGCACAGGTAGCAGCCTCAGTGAATTGGTGTGGCTGTTCCTTGCTGCTGCAGCTGCTGCAGTTGCTGCAATTGCTGCAGTACTGAGCTGCTACCAAGGGAAGGAGAGCATATATATAGTACAGGAGAGGCAGAGGAAGCTCCGGTAATCAAACCACAAAAAGTGGAAACCGCTGAGGTGTATGTACACCGCAGACACAGGTCGAACGATCATCTACCGGCAGCCTACTGTGTCCTTGAGAAGCGTAAGAAAACGTGCTGCAGCAGCATCAGCAGCAAGAGCAGCAAACAGCAGCAAAGCGTCTCTTCCTTTCTCTCTATATGCTGCACTAAGTGGGGGTGTAAAGAATTTGTGTGATTCTGTCTCTGTTGCTTGTCCGTATATATAGCGGTTGGGTGTTGCTGCTGCTGCCGCTGCGGCTGCTGCTGCTGCTGCTGCTGCTGTTGCTGCTGCTGTTGCATCTCTCTCACCGCTTGTTTGTTTGCGTTTAAGATGCAGAACACTCTTTTAACCTTTTTCTTTCCCTTCGCTCTTTTTTGGGTTTAGATCGGCCCTTGCCTCGGAGCAGGCGCCTGAATTGCCGCTGAGTCGCAGCAGCAGCAGCAACAGCAGCAGCAGCAGCAACACCAGCAGCGGCAGCAGCAGCGGCCGCGGCGGCAGCAGCAGCAGCAGCAGTCTTTTTCTTTTTTCCCTTCCTTCTAGCGAGTTCTGACCATACAGCCGTTTGTTTCGGCAGCTGAGGTGACTATACACCTGAATATCTGCTCAGGTGTACATACACCTCAAGTCCGCAGCGACAACTGTGTGCTTTAGCGTCGCCTTCAGCCTAAGCAGACGTCGTGGTTTGCTGCTGCTGCTGCGCTGCTCTGTTGCTGCTCCTGTTGCTGTTGTTCCTCCTGTTGCTGCTGCTACGGAGCAGCACTGTCTGACCCTCGTCGCTGCAGCAGCGGCCTTCTCTCTTAACCCCGCCACAACAACAGCCTGTTGCAGCAGCTGCTCGGTAACTGCTGCAACAGCAGCAGCAGCATCGACTGCAGCAGCAGCAGCAGCAACAGCAGAAGCAGCAGCTGCAGCACCACTCTACCCGGTTCTTGAAGGTTCCGCAGCAGCAACAGCAAAACCAGCAGCAGCTGCAGCAGACGCAGCAGGACATCCCTGCCCTTCATCTCTTCTGCAGCACACAGTAAGCAGCAGCAGCAGCAGCAAAAGCAGCAACAGCATAGGCACCTGCAGCA